TTAGCAGAACAATCTTTGCTCCTGTCATAGCAAAAAGTAGCTGGATTATATAATGTACAGCAGAAGCCAAAGTATTACCCTATTCTCAGGTTACACACAGAGATATTTTTACAACATAACTCAACTTTACTGTGTTTAAAAGCCACGTGTTTCCTCAGAAGACCTCGGAGAAGGGAATTCTTCCTAGTTTTTCTTCCTGAAGCGTTTTAATTCACTTTTAAGACGATCAGAGGACAACCCTTTTTATAAACCTCTCTAAAGCTCTTCATTTCCTGCTCCCCCTCCAGACAACTGTTCTATTTGTTAAATATGAAAACCAAACCAAAACAAACTCTTGCACTTCAGTGTCTCCTGGGCCACCTTTCCTGTAAAAGAAGCCACTTTAGTTTCCACCTGACTGCAGAATGAGATGAACTTTGAAATCCACACTGGATTTACTAAATCAGAGTACTCCCGCCTCTTGCCTTGATGAATCCAGAAGACTGTTCAATATGAAACAGGCAGTACAAAGATTTTGTGTGAAACACTTTCTCATTTTACAATTTTCTTCTATCATGCTCCGGCTCTAATTAACACCCATCTAAAACTAACCCCAAATTATTTCAATCCAAGGAGATGCAAACATACATCAATGGGTGTTTGATTTTCTGATTTTTAAGAACTTCTCACGTAAAATGCGAAGCACTAAAAATATTTTAAGCCATTTAATAACAACACTTTTATACAAATGTAAATTGTTTTATTTCTCTGATGAGTATAAAAGATCCAAAGAGGGTATTTCTGCTGATCAGAACTTACCCCTTTTTCTGAAAGATTGAGTGTTGGCAAGTGCAAAGCTCTGGTGTGGGAAGATTTCCAGTCAACTGGCATTACGTTACCATAATTATCAGTTAAAGCATTCCAAATCCTAAAGAGAGAAAAAAAGGAACAAAAATGCAGACCTTAAAACAATCAGCAACTGATCAGCAGTAAACTTATTTATAATGATAACATACTTCCATCAACAACTATTTTTTCCTCCCTAAATATTCATCTACAAGTTACTGACAATATTTTTGTAATGTTTTGAAGCTAAAAGAAAATGGCTTTTGATAAACACAAATCATTTCCCTTTTTAAACCAACAATGGATGCACAGCAGCAAAATGAACAATGTGGTGAAGAGAGAGCTTCATTACTAATTATACAACCACACTCAAAATCTTTTTGGGGACTGGATGAGTCCCTCCTTTCACAAAATTTGAGCTCAGCTATAAATTCCATTCCTAGTGTTGTTCCTGTTTTCCTTGACTTTTGCAGATTAAAAAGAGGAATTAGCAGAGGATGAGTAGCAAATTCTGAGCCAAATCTTTTTTCTTTCTTTCCATTTATCACAGAATAATGAACATCTACAAATTATACTAAAATTCTGCAAGAAATTAGTTTTATCCAGAAGTACTCTTGCTGAGCTCAGCCCACATCTCTTGTTTACAGTTGATCAGCTATATCCACAGTGTACAACCACTCTGGCTGTACTGGAGGCTTGAATATGCAGTCCTATTCTGGTATCCCAGTTCAGATTTTGAAACAGAGCAGCCCTGCTAGCAGGCTGCTGCCTCAAGGCAGCTAACAAACCCTGCCCCTAAGAGCAACGCTGCGGGGCACATTTGGAGCGGTTGCCTACCTAGGCTCAGAGGAGGTCAGAGGAACGGCCGAGCCAGACACCGAAGGGCAGACAGAGCCTCATCACTGCCCAACATGTCTCTGATTTACGGTTCTCTGAATTTACCTTGCTGTATATAGTATAGATATCTAGTCTGCTGCTAACAGGTTTTTTTTCTTATTCTAAGAGAAGACATACGATTTAGCTACCTCAAGTAAAACTGCAGTACTTTTAATGAAAATAAACTGACTGAAATTTACTGTAAAACATTAAGTATAAACACTTGTAAAATAACTGTTATAACCAGGAAAGCAGAACAGATCAGAAAGGCTGTATTGCTCAGCGGTAAAAACAATTATCATAATTGCAGCTGAGACTTTGCTCTCCATCTGCCTTCCGTACTTCCCACGTTTAATTTCAAACACTGAAACAGTGGGCATTTTTTCAACAACCGAAACCAACACTACTCTTCGTCACCCCGCATTTCGGAACAGCTGCCTGCTCTCGCCCCGGAGGCAAGAGGCACTGGGATGCCCGCACCGATGCGGTGGGGGGGATAAAACCAGAAGGTTCAATGTCAAACTGCGCCGCGCTGCCGGCCCCCGCCCGTCGGCCCCCCGGTCCAGTCCC